TTTTGCCTTGTTTTGGGAGTTTTAGGGGGCCAAAACTAACCAAACTGTCACCATTTTGAGGAAGATATTTCCTCTCATTGTTGGAATATATTTCCTAATGTGGAATTCTGGGTGAGATCCAGGATTTTGGGGTGTCCTGGGACCCACAAAAATGGGTTGGGGACACACGTAGCTCAGACATCACACTTTCTCCACCCAAAAGCTGTATCCACACTACACAACTAAAGCGCTTAGATACTACTTTAACTACCATGGCTCCATCCATTGGAATCCTAGAGTTTGAACTTGGTAAGGCACTACATCTCTCTGGCAGAGGAGTCTGAACACCTCACAAAACTATAAATCCCAGAATTCCACAGGATGGAGCCATCACAGTTAAACTGGTGCTATAATGGTATAGTGTGGACACACACCTAATAAATCCTACTGTTAGGTCCAATTAGAGTAGACCCATTGCATGAACAGAATTCATACAAATGTTGACTTACAACAATCCCATTGATTCAACCGTTGGGACTAAGAAAGGATTTAGAGACCAACAGCTAATTTTTAACATCTAATGTTATTTTTATTTTGATATTTATTTATGAATAAATGCAAACAGAGAATCAAATCATTAATTAAGAGATGGAGGACTTTCAGTGAGTACATTGCTCGGAAAACCAGAGGTAAGATTCTAGGAAAATTAGAGTAAAATCAACTAAGGAAAAGTACACTTACTATTAAGATAGTCAGGATGTAGATATTATATTGCTGAATCACAGACAGGAAAAAAAACACCACGATTCTAATCTGACGGTTATGATGTGATTACCGGTAGCACTTTTTTTTGCTTTTTACCTTTATTAATAAACCTTGTGCCCTGCCTTTCAAGTACAATTTTTTTGAAGGCAGCTAAAATACATCAATAGCATGATCAGGAGCAGAAATACAAGTCTGCACAATGTTGCATCAAGAGTAAAAGCAATGGGCAAAAGCAGCATCAGATCAACAAATTCAAGGATAAATTACTTTTTTATAAAAAGAAATCTTTGGAAAAATCACATGGTCCTTGGCACCAAAAGGACAAAAATGTGGGTCCCCAGGAAACCTTCCCCCAAGTTTCTGAGGAGGGTGTTTTACAACTGCGTGCCTTCCATGTTGCTACCAAGTTGCTATAGGATGCATCCACATTGTAGAAATAATCCACTTTCACACCACTCTTGCGCTGTTGCTCCATCCTACGGAATCATAGGATCTGTAGTATTACAAGGCCTTTAGCCATCTTTGTCAAAGAGTGCTGGTGCCTCACAAAACTACAAATGCCAGGATTCTGTAAGATAGAGCCATGGCACACTGTCTCAGCCTCAGGGGAAGGCAATGGCAAATCTCCTCTGAACAAATATTGCCCCCAAAAAAGCCATAAGGTCTCCATAATTTGGAAATGACTTGAAGGCACACAAGCACAACAATAAATGGCCAAATGTATGGAATGGATGTCTTTCCATATAGGAAAAGTGTTGCAAAATGACACACATATATGCCTTTGTCTTCAGCCACACTAACACAACACCCTGAAAAAGGGAAAAGTTTGATAGAATGGCTAGCGCTGAACCATTGCCATCAGATATCATTCCAGCCAGAAAAGCACCCCTGTATTTTGTAAAGCCATACGTATAGCCCCTTAAAGTGTGACTTTTTCTTCTATGTGCTCTCTCTGAGCAACCTTGTGTGTGCTCGACCTTAAGCAGCATCAAAAGAACTTGCATATATGGAATAGGAGCTGCAGGCAGATAAAAAGGAAACTAGCAAAAAGAGTAGAGTAGAGGAATGAATAAAAAGCACGAAAGATAAGAAAAAGAAGCAAGGGAAAATACAAGAGGGAGATTAGGATAAAAGGAATGGAGGAATGCATCGAGACAATGAGAGGTCATGCTGGCATATATCTGGAATTTGAAGCAATTTTCCAGCTCGGAACATAATTATTCCTGAAAGATAACCCGCATCAAAAGGTAATTTTCACAGCCTTGATGATGATGGAAAATATACAGTATGCCCTCCGTATGCACGGATTCTGCATCCAAGGATTCAACCATCCATGGCTTTCAAATATTCCCCCCTCCCCAAGAAATTCCAAAAAGCAAACCTTGATTTTGCCATTTTATACAAGGGACACTATTTTACGATGCCATTGTATTTAATGGGACTGGCACATCCATGGATTTTGGTATCCGCAGGGGTCCTGGAACCAAACCACAGCAGACACCAAGGGCCCACTTTGTAGGAATGGATGTTACACAGAAGGGAGCTTTAGCAGACATATCCCAACATCTGGCTGATAAGTAGCCACCTGCCTAGTTGCCTGGGACTAGTAAAAATTGCCTCCATTAAAAGAGATATTGACATCAGACATATGCAGTGGGCCCTTGGTTTGGTTCCAAGACCCCCTGTGGATATGAAAATCTGTGGATGCTGAAGTCCCATTATATACAACAGCATAATAAAATGGCATCCCTTATAAAAATGACAAAATCAAGGTTCGCTTTTTGGAATTTATATATTTTAAAAATATTTTCAAGCCATGGATGGTTGAATCCGTGGATAAAGAATCAGCGGATAAGGAGGTCCAACTGTACCTGCACTGCTGTTTTAACTTTCTAGAGAATGATGTGTCACAGACACTGAAAAGCATGGAGCCAAGCACAAGTGGGAAATTCCAAATATTATGGACTGATCAATGGGCTTTACTTGCAAAGCAGTCATAGGGGACTCAGGTTAGCAATAGGTTGGTGTAGATCAGGATGGGCAATGTGCTGCTCTAGAGCCAGATGTACTCCCAGCTACCTATTTTTGCTATCCTCAAACCCTCCACACAATGCAAAGCGCTTGTCTTCTGGACCAAAAAAAAAAAAGGGAGAGGGGAGGAATAGGTTCAGGCTGAGTATCCCTTATCTGGAAATCCAAAATCCCAAATGTTCCAAAATGCACAATTGTCCACATGAGTGGCTGAGATAGTGACACTTTTGCTTTCTGATTTGTTCAATATACACAAACTTTGTTTCACACCCAAAATTATTAAAAATACAGTGTATAAAATTACCATCAGGACTATATGTATAAGGTATATACAAAATATACATGAAT